ACGATCAAGTTGATGGTGAACTTCGTCTTGTGGAAGCACAAGTCGTCTTCGTTGTCGGTTTTGATGGACTCCAACTTGAGCACCGGACAAAGAACATCGTCATTCAAGAAGAAGTACGACATCTTGACGGGCAAGTGTTCTTTCTTGGTGAGCGTGATGAGGTGCTCGGCCAAGTAGGCCATGTAGAAGCTTCGTTTGTACAACGCCCTGTAGTTCAAGTAGTCCTTAGGTGAAAAGAGCAGTTTAGGCATCACAAGCGAGATATCGATACCCAGGCCGTGCTGCTGGGCAATGCCCGTTTTCAAGCCGAATGAACCCACAAGCGCCACGTTCTCCGGTGGCAAATACGCAAACTTGTAGTTGACCTTGGTGGGTTTTGGATCTGGAAATGGAATCACAAGCTTCTTGGAGTTGATCTTGCCTTCAGCCTCCTCGAGCGTGAGCTGCTCGGTGGCAGGCACCTGTGAAATACAGTGGTGGAGCCTGTGAAGTGCCTTTTCGATCTTGGCCACGTGGCTGTCCTTGATCTTGACCTCGTTCACGAGTTCGTCTATCTGAAGCTTGAAGATATTGGATTTGAAAAGTTCGGCCGTCTCTCTGGCCACCTGGACATCCTGGGCTGTCACCTGAGACTTCTGTTTCTTTTTCGCAGGTCCGTTGTTTTTCTGTTCTTCCTCCTTCTCTTCTTCTTCCTCTGAGTCGTCGAGATCTGCTCCAGATTCCTCGTCTGCGGCAGATTCCTCATCTGAGGGTTCGACGTTTTTGGATTTCGAGCCGTTGGTGGCAACTGGATGGTCACCCGAACCAGCTTCCGTCCGCAGCGCCGCCGCCGCCGACTTCTCGAGCTTTCTTTTGGCCATATTTGGTTGGAGGTGTTGGTGATTTTCGTGATGAGGCTAGAAAAAATGGGTGGTAGCGGCACGTGCACGGTCACGTGAGTGATGGATTTGTGGATCCGGGCAATTTGGACCGTTTAAGATGTCAGGTGGGGGTTTTACAAATGTGGATTATTTTATTTTGATTGGTTTGGGGATGGCATTACTATGGAATTGGTTTCGCTCAAAGGTGATGTCTGGTTGGTAAGGGTGCATCAGAGGTACGGTGGGGATGGTTGAAAAATGTGGATTCCTTGAAAGGTGCCATGTTTTTGAAATTTGTGGGGAAGGAAAGGATTTGAAACTTTTCATTTGATACTTGGATCGTAATTATATGTCATTCACTGAGTCTCTCACCCCATATGGTTTGGGATGTTATGGAAGTGGTCCTGAACATCTCATGACGCTAGGCCTTTTTAATTCATTTCCTGAAATTTATTTTGACCAAGTCTACCTCCCTCCACAAATAAGTACCACCTCCTGATTGACTAGTAAAACACCTCGGCATATAGCTGTCATCGTAATAGTTCCCCATCCTCTGCTACCTTTTCACACTATTCCCTGAACAAATCTTGCAACCTCAATGACACAATTGATGGGCATGTCTTTTTATCCAGTGAAGCCCCCAAGACCAATCTCATCCCGTCAACAATGCATTCCCATTGACTGCAAAAACATTTCTATCAATACATCAAGTCATACTACACCACGCTCACATATCTCAACATCACCAGTATCATCACTAAAAACACAGAGCCAGTCAGAATTCTCATACCTACCTTTTCGTCCAAAGCATCTCTACCATTATCACCATCAACACAGTCTCGTCAAGAACAATGGGATCTGCGCAGCCGATGCCTCTTGTGATGACTTCCTCGTACAATCCATCTTATCGGTCCTACAAACCAAGCCTACCACGAGCCTTTTGAGAAAATACGAGGATATACAGTTATTCACTTGTGCTAATTTAAATCAATTGAGATTTGGATTCTAAAATGTGAACGCCTCTTCATCAGTAGGTACTTATCTGGACCCATACGATGGCTGCGAAACGAAGGAATCACCTACTACAAACCACAAGCAACGAGTATTCCCGAAACTCTAATTCATTTAAAATTCCCTCTCAAATCAACTCAAATATTGAATCAACAAGAAAAAATAGAAATTTCTCCAGCCCACTAAACCACCACCAAACACGTCCTTACCCCAGACCTACATACGGTGCTCGTATATCTTCACACCACCATCACCATCGCTTTTTCCTACTACTCCCTACCACCAAAGCGTTCCCCTCTTTGAAGATCGTCCAATCATCTTCAAGAACCACCGACAACACCTGCATCAACCTCCTTTCCCACCGCCTGCTCCCCGGCGCGTCTTCACTTCCTATCAACCTAGCATCTGAAACACATCATCAGCATGTACTACTCCGAGGAACTCGGCCTTGAAGGTACAGACAAGAGCTTGTGGCGTTTGAGAACCGACGAGCTCGGAAGAGAAACGTGGCATTATCTCCTGCCGGAGGAGGCCGAAAAAGAGCCCCAGCTGAAAACGACAAAGTACCTTTTGGATATGGAGTTCCCAGGTCCTGAAGCCGAAAAGGAGATCAAGTTGCCCTTTGAGGCGGCCTCCAAAGGCCTGGAGTTCTTGTCTCACATCCAGGAAGACTGTGGAACTTTCGCTTGTCAATACAAGGGTCCCATGTTCATGACTATTGGGTACGTGGCAGCGTCGTACTTCACGAAAACGCCAATTGGTGACGCCCAGCGCAAAGAAATGATCCGCTACATTGTAAATACTGCCCACCCCGTCGACGGCGGCTGGGGATTGCACAGCGTGGATAAGTCCACCTGTTTTGGTACTTCTATCAACTATGTGTGCTTGCGTCTTTTGGGTCTTTCAAAGGACCACCCTGTTTGCGTGAAGGCCAGAAAAACGCTCCATAGCTTGGGCGGCGCTTTGGGTAATCCACACTGGGGAAAAGCCTGGCTCTCCATCCTTAGCTTGTACGAATGGGAAGGTGTAAATCCTGCTCCTCCAGAATTGTGGTCTTTGCCATACTGGGTGCCAATTCATCCAGGCCGCTGGTGGGTCCACACACGGTCCATCTACTTGCCATTGGCGTACTTAAGTGCCAATCGGTCCAAGTGTGCTTTGGACCCATTGCTTGAGGAAATCAGAGAAGAGATTTACTTGCCCAGGCAATTGCCATATGACAAGATTGACTTCTCCAAGCACAGAAACACCGTTTGCGGAGTGGACTTGTACTATCCTCATACCAAAACACTCGACACGTTGAACTGGGTTGTGGTGAACTACGAAAAGTACGTCAGACCAAACTGGCTTCTCCGCAAAAGCAGCAAGAGGGTTTATGAGCTCATCAAAAAGGAGTGCAAGAACACCGACTACTTGTGCATTGCACCTGTCAGTTTCTGTTTCAACATGGTTATCACGTACCTCGAGGAGGGTCCTGATTCTTATGCTTTCCTGCGTTTCTTGGACAGAAAAGACGATGTTCTCTTCCACGGTCCACAGGGTATGACTGTCATGGGCACCAATGGTGTCCAGACCTGGGACGTGGCTTTCATGTGCCAGTACCTCATTATGGCTGGCATGTCTCGTTACAAGAAGTACCATGACATGATTCTCAAGGGCTACTGGTTCTTGAGAAGATCTCAGTTCACTGAGGAGTGTGAGGAGGGCAGTTTCAGAGACAAAAGAAAGGGCGCCTGGCCTTTCAGCACTAAAACTCAGGGCTACACTGTTTCTGACTGTACTGCTGAAGCAGTGAAGGCCATCATCATGGTTGAAAACGACGACTTTTTGGGCGACAAAATCCCAGAAGACCAAAAAATCGAAAGACAAAATCTTGAAGATGCCGTGGACAGAATCCTTTTTATTCAGAACACCGGCAGCTTCGAGTTTGGTTCTTTCTCATCATACGAGCATATCAGAGCCACACCAAAGCTTGAGTTCATCAGCCCTGCCGAGGTCTTCAACAACATCATGGTGGAATATCCATACGTGGAGTGTACGGACCTGTCGGTTTTAGGGCTTACTTATTTCAACAAGTACTATCCCGATTACAAGCCTGTGGAAATTAATTTTGCCATTGACAATGCGATCCAGTACATCATCAAGGCTCAGGATAAATACGATGGACTGTGGTACGGACTGTGGGGTGTTTGCTTCACATACGCCACCATGTTTGCAATCGAAGCATTGGAGACTGTTGGACATTCATATGAAAACTCTAAAACCGTTCGCAAGGGTTTGGACTTCCTCATCCGGAAACAAGAAGAGGATGGCGGATGGAGTGAATCCATGAAGGCGAGCGAAACCCATACCTACGTTCCTACAGGCCAGTCATTAGTGGTCCAGACCTCCTGGGCTGTTATTGCCTTAATTCTTGGAGACTACCCAGACAGAAAACCTATTGATAAAGCCATCAAGCTTATCATGGATAGGCAATCGTTGGCAGGCGAATGGAGATTTGAAGACGTGGAAGGTGTCTTCAACCATAGCTGTGCTATCGAATACCCAACATACAAATTTTTGTTCCCGATTAAGGCTCTTGGATTGTATGCCAATAAGTATGGCTATAACAATGAGCCAGTTGCCTGAGGATCCGAGCCGGGCCGACGCACTGATCGCAGAGATAAAAGGAGCCAGTTAGCAAACGCATACATCCGCTACAGGTCGCACATATCCACCGCGCCATAAGTGATACTTTCGGCATTTGAAATCGGTGGCTATTGGGTCTTTCCAGGCTTTTGCACCGCGGTGTGCAGGTTTGTATGCGGGTCTGCACATACGCCGGCATTTGACCTTCAAAGCACCGCCTCGTCATCACCGTCAATGCCCATATGCTCTCGGAAAGCCTGGCAAAAGAGATTTTGAACCGCTGAAAATTCGATTATTGATGGTTGACGGCTGTCAAGCCCATTCTTATACGGTCTTGGCGCCTCCTGAATCTCGGATCTGATGCGCGATTTCGGATGTCTGCAATTGTTTTGTCGGATGTGCATGCCATTTCACTTATCCGTATGCACCTGCTTGAGGAACCGCAGCCAGTATAAATATCTGCTTACATCCCCTAGCATATCTTTTTTGCTGTCATCAAAAATGAGCTACTCACCTTTGCCAACCGAAAAGAAGAACTCCTCTAACGAGGCTACTCCCCCATACTCCTCCACCTCCTCCTTCGAGGACTCTGCTCACCCATTCTACGAGCCATCCACCAACAAGCGCGCTAAGGGTTGCAAGACCAAGGTTGTCGCCGCCACTGCCGTCAGCGCTCTTGCTTTGTTTGGTGTCTTCTCCATGGGTAGAATGTACGAGGGCTACTCCTTCCACAACGCCATGGTTGCCATCAAGGAGGACCACCGTGCTCACGGTTTCCACCATGGTCCACCAGGCGGTCACCCTCACGACGACCCTAAGTGGTGGATGAAGTTCCACAAGGGTGAATCCCCTGAGGAGGCCGAGAGAAAGCACAAGGAGTGGTTGGACAAGCACCCCGAGGAGGCTAAGGCTCAGGGTAAGCCACACAACGACAAGTGGTGGATGAAGTTCCACGAGGGCGAGTCTCCAGAGGAAGCTGAGAAGAAGCACAAAGAGTGGTTGGCCAAGCACCCAGAGGAAGCCAAGGCTCAGGCTGAGAAGGCCAAGGGCAAGGGTAAAGGTAAAGGCAAGGACAACGACTACTGGATGAAGTACCACAAGGGCGAGTCCAAGGAAGAGGCCGAGAAGAAGCACAAGGAGTGGTTGGCCAAGCACCCTAACGGTGCCACCGACAAGGCCGAGGGCAAGTCCGAGGGTAAGGACGACAAGTGGTGGATGAAGTTCCATGAGGGTGAGTCTCCAGAGGAGGCTGAGAAGAAGCACAACGAATGGTTGGCTAAGCACCCAGAGGAGGCCGCTGCCCAGAAGGGTAAGGACGGTAAGAAGGACGACAAGTGGTGGATGAAGTTCCACGAGGGCGAGTCCCCTGAGGAGGCCGAGAAGAAGCACAACGAGTGGTTGGCTAAGCACCCAGAGGAGGCCAACGGCAAGAGAGCTGAGGAGGCTGCCAAGGAGTTGATCTAAGCGATCTCCTGACTTTCGATTCTCCACGTTTTTATATGCCCTGGTGGACACAGAATGACTTGTATGTTGATTTTACCAATGATTTGTATTGAGATGTGTTGTAGATGGCGGAGACAAAGCCAGATACCGAGTACGAGGTGCGTTATTGTTGTGATCTTGGCATGTCTTAAGGATGTTTGACGTAAATTCAGCCAATAGCAGATTGGGGATATGGAGAGGAACGAATGATGCATGGGTATTGATAATGGTGAGTGAAAAATTTCTACCTTACTGAAACATTTCTATCTTATTGTGAACTGATTTTCTTCGTGATAAATAAGGTTAGAAATAGTACCTGACAATAACTGTGCACTGTCTTATAAGGTTCATTATCATGTCTGTATGCCCTGGATCAATAGTAGTATTTATCTATCACATTTTATTCCATACAAGCCTTTTCTTGAAAAAATGTTTCGCTCTTCCTTGTAAGTTTCATATCATTCTATTTATGTGATGAAGCTTCAACCCCTGCTATGACAATTAAAGTTATAGGTTTACAATGATATTGAACATATGAGTATTCAGACTTTATATCAGATACTGGTGAAACAATAGATGCTTGAAAACCCATCCTTGCAGACTATCTAGCTCCATATGTTCAACTTGGCATTGAGTTGATTCAAGCAACAGAAGTGTACTAAGTTCTGAATCGTAAAAGCCTTCATTATCGATACGCGGACTGTTGAAAGTCCAATATTCTTGACCATCAATAATCCCATCAAGACCTCCATTGAGTAACAATCTCCAACCTTCTCTATATAGGAATATAGGCCCTTTGAAGCATTTCTATGGCCCCCGTCTCCGATATTCTCTTCGGCTTTTCCACCTTATTAGCCAACACGATTTTGTCTCGATCATACAAAAACTTCGTGAGAAAAATGATATTGCCTATGTGGAAAAGACATACCACACTATAAATGACAGAAATAAAAATTATGAAAAAGGACTGGGCATCCTCTTCTTTGCACTTACTGACTTCATAGAAGATAAGAACAGTGTGGGCTATGTGGCCAAGTGTGATGATCCAAAGAGCTGTTAGTACGCCATTGCTTCGTTTCAGCGACATACAAAGGTAGAAAATGTAGATAGTGGGGGTTACCTGGATGTTAGTTTTGTTTTTGGGTCAAAAGCAAGTCACGTACGTCTGCCAAATGGAAAATCGAAAATGCCTTGAGAAGATGACTCTTTCCTTCGAAGAAGATCAGAAAAACGACGACCCTCATGACGGTGGCGAGACTGTTGAATAAAATGACAAAGTACTCAACTACATCGAGAAGGTCCTGAATGGTTTTCATATCTGGTGAAGCCCTTATGGACCTGGAGGATCTGTCGATAGCTCTTTCTAAGTCAAGTGGCCATGCTTCATTAGCGGAATACATAGTGTAATGGAGAGGTTTCAACGAGAAGCATGGATTTATATCGGACTAGAAGCTGCCGTCATGATTTTCTGTCTTGGTGATTCCATGCGGCATACAATTCCATGATTGGAGCTTCCATATTGTATTGTTGGATGGCACAGTATACACCAGGGTCGGATTCAAGACAAAATTACGTCACTGATTGATCAGGCAATTCCAGAAAGCTTTCACGATCCTTGTAAAAAACGCCTTTTCACATACTTAACGTTCAACTTAGGAATATAGACGATGTAGCGCTTTTTTGTAAAGGTCTATTCGAACGCCGTTTTACATACTCTACAAAGCATCATCGAATTTCATTATCCATAAAAACTTCAACAAAAATCATAATCATAATTTCCCGTAGCTCATCCGGTCTTATAGCCTCAAACTCGACTCCCTATGTGGGAATGTAAGCACGCTGAAGAGACTCGATAATAGCTTTTTCTGGTACCTCCATGGGCTTTCTTACCTTTGTGGTAAGCACAATCTTGTCTCGAAGACGTAGGAAGTCATAAAGATTACCCATGTTTACAACGATAAGGATCAGATTGACAAGGAATAACGCCAAGGTGAAACATAGTTGTACTACAACTCCATCGTAAGGGTCAGTGGCTTTATCAACTTCATGGCACAAGAGAACGAAATGGCCAAAATTATCAATGGCGAGTAATGCTTGTGCTCCTAATAGACCCCGGCTTCGTCTCGGAGACGCCCAAATAAAAATGAGATATATGAGGGACGATACCTGATGTTAGTTTTTGATTAAAATATGAAAGCAAGGTACGTACATCTGCCATATGGAATATCGTGAAGGCCTTGAATAGTGTACTTCTTTCTCCGAAGTGCATCCATAGAAAGGAATACATGAGTATGTACTTGATAATGGTGAAGAACGTCAAGACAATCTCAGATACAAGGAGTTCCTCTTGCTTCGTTGCCAACTTCTTCCGACTCACCTCTGTGGCGGAGGAATCATCAATAGCTTCTTCCAAGGCTCTGTGCCCTGTAGTGTCAGTTGTAGTCATTATATGTTGGAACGAGTATTCAGTCAGAATTGAAGTCTTTAGATGTTTCAGTCACACTTTATAAGGCATCTCGTTTTGAGGGTCTCTACGGCATTTTCTTGAATGATGTACGGCTATTTATATTATACTTGTAGGCAGAGGTGCATCTGGCATGGTATAGAAATGGTAATAATCAGTATTTTGCATGGTTATGCCAGTACATGCAAGTGATCATGGACACCTTGAGCAGAGAGCCATCTTTTTTCTCTTTTTCTCTATAAATCATTTTTCAAGTACATGAATCCATCTCATCACAAAGACTACAAAAATTGGGCAATATCGGGATAATTTTTGGGAAGAATACTAGACAATCTTGCATCTCCATATACGCTCGCTTCTCCATATACGCTCGCTTCTCCAGCGTTCGCGACCCCACTTATGTGCATCGCACGACCGCGTTAATTTTTCTCACCAACATCAAATCGATCTGAACTAAACCACCATGGGCTTCTTTTCTGCTGCCAAAACAGCGTTCGCCCCCGTGGGGCTTCTTCTAAATCAGCAACGTGGCATAGCCAAGTTGGGTTTTTTGGCTCCGTTCGAAGGAGCCACCAAGAGCATCAAAAGAGTCGGAAGAGGTCAGGCCTCTGGTTTGGGTAAAACTTCCGGAAGGGGTCAGAAGGGTCAGAAAGCTCGTGGAAAGGTTCCTCGTTGGTTCGAAGGTGGCCAGACGCCGTACTTCAAGAGATTCCCCATCATTGGTTTCAAGAGACCCCACAAGAGAGTGTACAACGACTTGAACTTGGAAAAAGTGCAGCATTTCTGGGAGAAGGGCCGTATTCCTTTGAGGGAAGGCGACGTGCTAGACTACAAGGTCATGCGGGAGTGTGGCCTCGTCACAGGTACCGTCAAGGACGGTGTCAAGCTTTTGGGTAACGGTAAGGAAACATACAATGTGCCTTTGAACATCGAGGCCACCAGGGCATCTACCGGTGCCATTAATGCTGTCGAGAGAACGGGGCACTCTTACACTTCCGTGTACCGTACCAAGCTTGGTTTGCAAGCGTTCTTGAACCCAGACAGATTCCTTTTGAGGAAGGGCTATGTTCCTCTTCAGGCCAGACCCATGCACAAGAGAGACATTGCGTACTACCTGAGCGAAGAAAGACGTGGTTACTTGCTCAAGGACAGACTGATCTTCTTGGACCAGGTGGAGGCCGTGCAGAGCAAGATGGCCAACAAAACCAAGAGAATCCAGAGAAAGACCGAGTTGGAGCGCCAGTTGGACAGCGCCTCGTCCAAGGCCCACAACGACTTTGCCCAGTCCCGTGTGGTGGACTTGGCTAGTCTTTGAATGTAAATAGATGGCGCAAATGCATGGATGTAGATAGGGTATTTGTAGGTGTGGCTCGCCTATGGAAAGCTATATGTAACTGATTGGGACTTCAGACAGAAATAGTTGCTGATGTGCTTTGAAATGTACCTGAATGCAATGGTAGGAGTCGCTTACCTTCTGTTCATGTGGGCGGATCTAAAAGGACGGCTAAAGTGGGACCTATAAGTGGATGAAATAGCTTCAGGTGTAAAATGTTGTGAAGCTAAACATCGACCATGAGTTCATGTTGCAACTGATTCCACCATGTCATTTACTGGAAGCTCAACAGCGTGAATGTCATCCAGACCCTGCCTCAAATCACTCTACATCAGCATAGGCCTGGAGCAACCGTTCCACAACATCCTGAACATCGCTCAACCTCACCTCCTGGTTCACAGCTCCATTGAACCCATAGTTATACTTTCGTAGCGCAAAAAGCGCCAGTTTCCTTGTCATTTGGTACAACTCCCTCACGGCGATTCTGTCTTTCGAACCCAGCGGGTTCAAGCCACGGAGCCGTAGACCCGAAAGCGTGATCTTGTTCACAGCAGCAGAAATCTGGTCGCCACTGAGTGGAGCCACTGAAAGCGGGGTGGCACTGGGATTGCGTGGAGCAACATACTGGTTTCTCTTGGACGACTTGTTTTCGAGCACTCTATCAAAAATTGTAGTATCCGAACGCGTCGGGAGCGCCAGATAGAAAATGTCGTCTTCACTTGAAGCCTCAAATGCCCGTGCCGCCAGGGCTAGTCTGTCCAAAGCAGAAAAGTCTATGCAGAAGCACCGAACGCTGTTTTCGTGGATGAAGAAGACCACGTATACTCCGTCGGCGGATTTAGAAAGAAGCCCGATGTAGGGCCTTTCCATGCTGTCCAACGCGAGGTTCTTGAAGTATGCAGCGGTTTCGTCGTTGGTGGAGTAAACAGGATATGGACCCAGGGATACAAGAAACCACGGAATTTTCTCCGAGTTGACCAGGTTCACGTGTTCTAGCGGGCCTCGTAGGTTTAGCTTCCCGTTGTGGTTGATCTCGATGCCCGGTAGCGTCTTGTCGCCGTGTGAAAGCAGTATCAAAGAGACCATGGGATGGGGCGGTCTAGTCTAGGGGAAGGAGCGGAAAATTTTCTGAATTCTGGATGCTGGGGAATCTCGAGTATTTATAGTAGGAGAAGCGGGGAACACGGGCGACTGTGCTGCATGGACGCGTTGTGGATTGGGTGTGTAAAGAAAAGTAGTAGTTCAGTGTTGATGTTTCGCAGCCATACAAGCAGTACCAGAGATGGGTGATGCAGTTGAGATGAAGAAGCTGTATTGAGCACTTTTTGAGATCTTGGGTTTTGATGAGTTTTCTCTGTTTGCTGTCTGATGAGTGAAGGAGGGGCTACAGTATTGTTGGTTTTATGAAGTCAGTGAGGGACATATTCATGGGTGTTGATGAATTTGACCTGTTTGTTGGAAACGATGCACTGAGGAGTATCGAGAATATTGGCTTCATATTTCTTTTTTTAGAAGCCTTTAAATTCTCCTCGGCTGTTGGCTTCGCTGCAGTTAGAGTTTCTCGGAAAATACAGGTTGAATTCACAATGGCTGCAAAATCAGTAGATCTCAACCACATAATGGCAGGAATCTTTATCTTTACCAGAGAAATTTTTCAATGCCTTCCTCAAAGTCCAGCTATCCGTTTGTCTCTTGCGTTTCGTTCATTACGTTCATTGAAGCCCACGTTAGATGTGTAGTTGAAAGAATGGTGAAAACGAGATAATGAGTGCACTCTTTGTTAGACGATTGTTAGACGATAGCCTTAGAAGTCTCTTAATCAACATTCCAAGTTCCATAAGTAGGTGACAATTCAGCATCCTTGAGAAAACCCACTTCCGCCTTAGCGCCACTTGATCAAAGCACTAGCCACATCGCCACAAAACACCCTATCGAACCATGTGGCGGTGCACCTGTCTTTTCGATCTCCAATTCTCTTTTATCATCATAACCGCCAGCACAAACAAAACAGTCCAAGAAAAGAAAGCCCACCCGCTAACATTCACCAGAAACCCCAAATCCAACCAGATTGCTCTTACTAGCCACATTCGCCACAAAACGCCACGAACAGCCAAAACCCATCCTACAAACATCACCCAAAGCCAAAGTTCACCTCCAAATCGCCGTCCCTCCAGAACCTAAAAAGCCCCCTTGTGGCTAGTGACATGTAGGTGGACAGCGATAGCCGAGATCCCGGCACCAAAAACGGCAAACACCGATTAAATCAAAAATTTAGCTTTTATCAAAAATCTACAAATTTATAATTATCGGCCTCCCCCGAAATCTCTCTTCTTCCACAAAACCCATCTCGCTTCCTCACAGCAAGTCAAGCAGACAGGCGAAAAACCAGCACCATCACCCATATCACCGCCACCACCGCCGCCTACACCAAAAAAAACCCAAAATAGCAAAAACACCCAAAACTACAAATCCCCGCTTTCCTCCAACTATAAATACAGCCCGTCCGCCCACCTTGCCAGAATCAGTTGATGTGGCTCCTGCATTGCCTGAACGGTGCGATGAATCAAAAACCTCATCTACTACATCACCATGATGAACGTATCGCCCAAGGTGTACTCGGTGGCTCGAGTATACGCCGATGTGAACAAGCATAAGTCTAGAGACTACTGGGACTACGAATCCCACACGATCGAGTGGGGAAACATCAAGAACTACGAGATTGTGTCCAAGATCGGAAGGGGCAAGTACTCGGAGGTGTTTGAGGGTGTCAACGTGATCAACGACGAGCCCTGTGTGATCAAGGTGTTGAAGCCGGTGAAGATGAAGAAAATCTACCGAGAGGTGAAGATCTTGAAGAACTTGACCGGAGGCCCCAATGTGGTGGGGCTTTTGGACATTGTCAGAGACCAGAACTCCAAGATCCCTGCCTTGGTTTTCGAGTCCGTCAACAACGTCGACTTCCGCATCTTGTACAACAAGTTCACCATCGCCGACATCCAGTACTACTTTCTGCAGCTCCTCATTGCCTTGGACTACTCGCATTCCATGGGCATCATCCACCGAGACGTCAAGCCGCAAAACATCATGATCGACCCGCAGACAAAGACCTTGAGGCTTATCGACTGGGGTCTTGCGGAGTTCTACCACGCCGGCGTCGACTACAACGTCAGAGTGGCCTCCAGGTACCACAAGGGCCCCGAGTTGCTTATCAACCTCCAGCAATACGACTACTCGTTGGATCTCTGGTCCGTCGGGTGCATGCTTGCGGCCATCATCTTCAAGAAGGAGCCGTTTTTCCGTGGAGACTCCAACAACGACCAGTTGGTGCAGATTGCCAAGGTGTTGGGCACGAAACCGCTCATGGCGTATGTGAACAAGTACGGCATCAAGTTGAGCCCCGAGTACGACGGCATTTTGGGCAACTACCCACGCAAGCCGTGGTCGGCCTTTGTCAACAGGGATAACCAGCACTTGGTGCTGAACGAGGTGGTGGACTTGATCGACAAGTTGTTGACCTACGACCACCAGTTGCGCCCTACTGCCAAGGAGACGCTTGCACATCCATTTTTTTCGATTCAGGCCTAGGTCTGTTGTGGCCACAGGCCATGGCTTTTCGGCCGTTTAATGGCTCTGCTGCTGCTTGGCAGTGGGGTCTCTTTCATCATCCAGCAGGCGTTCTTTCTGCTGGAGCATATGAGCATCCGCTTTGCGGCATTGGGTCACGATCTTAGAAAAGTTACGATATGATAAAGCGGCGGGCTACAGATACAAGCGCCCGGGTATAGCAGCTTTATAGTTAATGCCCTAATGAAGAGAGTGTAGCGAAGGGGCGGCGCAGTGGGTTGGGTATTTTGAGGTATTGGTGATGATGGCTAAGGCTGGAATCTGGTTGGAATTGTGGATTGACAACGATTGTGTGCTTCACTTCGTCATTGCTCAAATTCATTGATTTAATCTTCACGAGCATGATCCCGACAAAAGCCTTAAATTCTACATTTATTAATCTTCCCCAGTTAGTGTACGCCAATATCCACCTCTCCTTTGGGATCCACAGTATAATATCTCCCCACCGATCATGTCTTTCCTGACGTGCCTTTTGTGGAAATCAAATACCGCTTTTTGGAACGAAGGATCCAGCCACTCGAACAATGGGTTGACGCTCGTGAAGGCTGATCAACAGAACGTTTTGGGAAATGCTGATTGTTCTCGTTTCGTGTCGCGTTGATCCATACAATAATAAGGAACGAGGGAGAGCAGAAAGTCTAATAGTCGAGCCAATAGAGCTAACAGGTGAGTAGGTAATGTGTATCTGTAAAAGCTGACTATCGGGTTTGGAGAAACGTTGGAGATGCGGTAGATCGGAACACAAAAACAGATCGGAGGAGGCTTCGGCTGTGCCTGAATATGTAGACTGATTTGCGCTCAAAACGGGCGTATGATTCACGGATTCCCGGTGGAAAGACTCCTTATCCATTGCATTCAGACGTAATTTGACTGAAAATGTAGAAATTGAAGCAGCATCACCATCCACTTGTTCGTAATTGCATCGCGATGATTGAGGCGGTGCAGCTGCGGGCCCGTTTCGTGTTCTCCGTTGCATTGTATTCGAAAATTTGGGTCGCCAAGTTGCAAACAAGCTTTAAGTTGTTACTTTATTGGAGGTCCTCAGTCTCCCATAATTACAATGGAAAAAAGCACCTCAGCTCTAGTCTGGAGCCCAGCCAGCCTGGTCGCGTCCAAGTGTCCAGAAGGCCCCCACGGCCTCCACGCTTGTGCATTTCGGAAATTTCAAAAATCCCAACCTCTAGGAACCCTTCAATCTGATTCCCTTGGGCTAGTGCCACCGGAACCCCCGGAAACGACATCTTTGACGTTTGCAGCCAGTGGCAGTTCCGAGGGCTGCGCGTTTTAGCGCGTGCGTAGTAACGCGGGTGGTATGCGAGCCAGCACTGTTTCGGCCCAATCTGGCACGTTTTTGAGACGTCGCAGACGCATCTGGTGCGGCCCAGCTCTCTCAAAAATGTCTCTCAACGAGGCAGTACAGAAAGGATAATTACCAACTCCGTGTTTCTTTCCAGGTGATTTCATCTTGCTAGCTGCCCGGCCCCTGCCGAAGGCCCCCTTCTTCCTTACCTTCGTTTACCCAATATCAAAAAAGCACCTCCCCGCATGTCCTGGATTCATAGCCAACATAGAGCAATGGCTCGATGGGTGGGATCCAAGGTCGGAAAACCCATCGAGGATCTTACTACAGCACTCAATGACGGCCTTGTTCTAGCCAAACTCGTCAACGTCATAGCCGAAGAAAGCGGCACCTCCGAATACGTCCTCCAGCCCATATACCAGAAACCAACCCTACATCTCCAGAAAGTGGAAAACATCGACGATGTGCTCAAGTTCTGCCGGCTCATTCTCCAGATCAATACGTGCTCTGTCAGTGCCGAAAATGTCGTGGAGGGCGACCTCAAACTCATCCTAGGGCTCATATGGACCTTTTTCGTCTACTCCACCCTGACGCTGATATCCATAGCCAACGAGGGCAACTCGATTCACGAAATCAAGCAGATTCTCCTACGGTGGATCAACACGGTCGGCCGGTCCCGGGCGCTTCCGGAAATCGGCAATTTCTCCAAAGACTGGTCGCTTCAAACCAGCCTGAGACCGGATCTTGTGTTTGCAGCCATTTGCGACTACTACGTCCCCGACGCTCTTTTCCATTTCAACGATCTCAAAAACGGCAAACCCGTGGCCAACTTGGACATGGTTTTCGGCCAGGCGGACCTGAAACTCCAGATCCCCCAGCTCTTGGTTCCTGAGGACTTCAATGTCCTTGTGCCTGATGAGAAAAGCATCATTCTTTATCTTCTCCAGTGGTACACCTTTTTTGAACTCACGCCGGATATTCCTGATTCGCCGGTCATTCCCCAGGAAAACACCAATGTTCTAGCGCAGTTTGTGCATCTTTGTTTGGAGGCTCTGAAAGCTAAAAACGCATACGAATCCAAGGCCCTACGGCTTGTGGAGCAGGTGAACTCCAATATCATGAAACTCAGCAACCTCAACGAGGAGCTCTGTCTGACAATCGTGCCTGCCAACCTAGGGCACCAGCTTGATGAGTTTTGTGGGGATCTCAAGGGATCGAAAATCGTGGACCAGCTTTCTTGCAGAACCCAGTACCCACACATCTCCATGTTTGGCCAGTTTTTCGTGGATCTCTTGACCGCCTACGAGCATTTTTCGCTTCAGCTCAAACCCACCTACTTGCATCACGATTTCCCAGAATTGCAGGCTCTTCTCAAGGCCGTTTCCGTGAGTCTCTCCAAAACGGGCATTCCTTCCTTTCAGCCTGAAAAAAACGTCGCCTTGTCCACGATAGCCACCCGTTTGGAGTGCCTCAACGAGTTGGACAAGATAGTGGGTGAGAAAATGCTAGAAATGTTGAGCCAGCTTTGTGGTTCCAGAATAGCCAATGTTGATGGCCTTCTAGCGACCATTGAAACACATTTAAAAGCACACAGCAGGGACCCGATTCCGCCAGTTTTGAAGCAGTATGTGGAAGATTTAAGCCAGGTGATGGAGCTCAAACAGCATCTAGACCGTTTCAACGGCGTTCTACGGCCGAAAAGAAGCGCTCAAGGTTTACAAATTCTTGTGGATTCGCTTGAGACCATCGATGTTCCGGAAACCCCAGAAACCCCAACCACAGAGCAAACAATGGCTTTCCAGAAATTCAAAGATATCGTTGCGCTGCAGCACAACCAGCAGAACCTCACCCACTCGGACCTCACACGGTTCATGGACAACCTAGCCGAACTTCCCAAAAACGACAAAAAAGAGTTTGTTCTTTTGGTGCCTTCCCGGCGGATGCTCAATCGCAGCGAAAGCGACGAATTCTCCACCTACGGTCTGGACGAAAACACCTCTGTCAACGAGGAAGAGCTGGCTCTTTTTGACAGGGTGCAGCAGACGGTGGAGCAGAAGCTTGCAGGAACGTACAACAAGCTTTACAATTTGGCCGAGTTTGTGGAGCGTCTCGAGGGCGGTTTTTCCGTATGATAGCATGAATGTATGATTATGAGCAGGTAGAGAGTTTGAGTATTCAATTGAGCCACAGAAGGAATTGATGAGCTTCAGGAATTGAATCAACTGACGTAGAGGTTCAATTGAGATTTTTTTGGAAAGCAGTAGAGACTTAAGGAAAACTGGCTGGTGATCCTTTGGTGATAATGCTCACACCTGGGGTAGGTCTCTACTATAGCACAGAAACGAAATTTCGAAAGGAGAATTTGAACTCGTTAGAGATCATGGAATGTGTAGAGAAACAAAGTCTACAAAGGAAGAGGAATTAAACTCCCGAGAAATCACGAAAAGATCATCTCGCTGCTCAATTCCTTATGGAACGCTCTTTGCACCTTCACCATGTCTCACCTGGTCCTATTGCTTCCAAATACATAAAAACCCAGCGAAATGCACTTCCAGCCAAAATAACACAATGCCATATTCGCCAAAATAAACCTTTTCAAAAACTCCAAATTCCACCAAAACCATCTTTTCATGGAATCTCCATCCTTGACCGCTATCTGATGCACCCATCTCAGCGCGAAAATACATCACATCATCACCACCTACTCCATGGAAGAACCACTTACGTCCAACGTCCGTCCTGCCACAGACGCCGTGCTTACAATCCGCATAATCAAGTCCTTTCCCTACCGCAATGTGAAAAACCACATTTTGCGGTCCGTGGATCTCAAGGCCACCACTCCTTCTCAGCTTCTAGACCAGGTGGTGGACATTGTGAATACCACAGGTGCCATGAGGCCTTACAGAAACGTGGTCTACGATACGGTCAAGGTGTACACGCATGCCCACAAGACCAAGTCGATGAACTTGGTGATCAACTTTGATGAGGATGAGAGGGACGTTTTGGTTTGTAAGGGGAAGAATGTGGAGAAGACGGAGCTGCTCTGGGACTTGGGCGTGGAGAACGAGACGGAGTTGAGTGTTTTCAATTGGGAGGCGTACGAGGAGTTTAAGAGGAATCCGGAGGAGAAGTGGTAAACGAGCCAGCGAGGCAGCTCTGCTGCTACGAGCTGGCGAGCTGTGGAGAAGAAGACATTTCAGAGCTGCTACGAGCTGGCGAGCTGTGGAGAAGAAGACATTTCAGAGCTGCTACGAGCTGGCAAGCTGTGGAGAGAAAGACATTTTTGGCCCAGGGGCAGCTACTACGAACTGGCGAAGAGCTGAATCGCTATATGTACGAATGTGCTGCCATGGACCTGGGATACTGATCTCCAATCGAAAGCTACAGCCATTGGAGCCTGATTCTCTGAAAATCGCCCGTTTATCGGTTTCCCAATCGGATACCTTCAAACCCCCTGGGAAACAGCATCTCTCATCTACATTTAGCATAAGAAGCATTCACACTGAATTAGATAGTGTAGGCTATAAATTCATCCTGTTTGACCCAGCGTTCTTCCAAAATAACGCCACTGAACGCCGTGCACTAGATAAACATCACAAGCACCGAGACCGATCACTTCATGAAAAACTTTCCCTAAGAAACTGGGGTATCGTCGTTTGCAGCCCACATATGTGTTCTGTATATGAGGCCGCTTTACGAGACCAGCTATCACTTCTATGCTGCTCAGTGCATAAGCGAGAAGCACGCTGCCGTTAAGAAGGATGACATGTCTAGGATGTGAATTGTGACATTTTGCTCAATTAAAGATTTTGAGCGAACTGTTTGAGTTGAACGACTGGGACGAATTCATGGGTGGGGAAACACGGTCCAGCGAATACACAACGATTGCACTATAAGGCGAAATCTACAAATGGCTTGGAGTTAAAGATTCCAATTTCCCCGTTATAGCGGTTTAATTGAGGCTGCCTGGTCACACTTCTCTTTTTCAGACATCCTACGGAGAAGTACCCAAAGAGTTATCAGCCTTTATGACCAAAACCGGTAAGACCCCTGTTGCAGTGGTTTGTTCACTTACGAAAAATGGTCCCTCTTTAAAGTGGCTTAAAAGAGAAAAAACAATTGCCACCATACAAAAAGTCGTTTCTCGTTCCGTTTGACACATCTCTCACTCCACACTTTTCACCTACCAGGCACACCTTCAGACCAAGCACATACGATACCGCCAGTCAAAACATCAAAAATAACCAAAAACAACAAAAACCTACAAAACCACCCCAAACTCCATAAATCCAACCCTCCCGGTCCCACAATCCAGAAAATCAACCCCACCTACACCTTCGCCATCACCCCACCCGTGCACCCCACGATAAGCTCCAACTCAGCACTACCATCTTTTCCATGAATCTCCGTCTAATTCTAGCATTGGCCTCGTGCCTTCTCCCGGCTCTTTCCGCCACCATATGTGTGGAAAACGACTGTTACCCGGAGATCTTTGAAGCCACCCACGAGTGGCAAATTGTCAAGAAAGGTCAGCACATTCCAGCTGGTCTTCATGTCAGGATGAACTTGGAGCTGAACCAAAGAGAGGCGAAATTGCTTGATGGCAACGAAGACGAAAACGCCGCTTTGGCTGTTGTGGAGAACGAGGAGGAACAGGAGGCCGTGAAGGTCCAGATCAAAGAGGCCTTGGATAGATACAAGAGCCAGAAGAAGGAGTACAAAAGAAGCACTGTGGACGAGGGGGAACTCAGCGATTTTGGCTCAGCCGTCAAGGAAATCGTGTCTTTCAAGTCGGACTTGGGCAGAGCAGAGCGGGCTCTTGAAACCCTTGCTGAATTGGCTCATGATAGAGAATTCGGTGTTAGACTTACGCAGAATTCTGAGGCTTTCGACAAGATCCACCAGATTGCGCTCGAGGTGGACGACTCCCACATTAAAGAGCTCTGCTACAGTGTTTTGGCTGCCTCTTTGAGAAACAACCCCGAAGCTGTAGGCAACGTTTTGCAGAACCAGCCCTCGCTTTTTGTGGATACGCTTTTCGGGGTCATTCGTGACAGTGACACCAGCGACGTGCTCCAGAAGCGTATTTTGGGTGTTTTCCAAGGCCTCGCCTCCAATGCCAACTTTGCCCAGCAGAGATTGGGCGATTTGATCTCGGTGTTTCCCGATTTGGGCCAGCAGGCCAAGGACAGAGTTGCTGTGATTCTCGAGGACCTTCAATTGGCTGAGGCAGCGGAAAAGGCGGACGAAACGGTTTCGAACTATATCCAAAAGACTCTTTCTGGCGCCAAGGCCGTTTCCGAGTCGCAGTTCAAGCTGTACTTCAGAACGCTTGCTGCGCTTCATGAGAAGCGTGTGCTCAAGCCATCCAAGGAGTTTCTTTCCTGGCTTGCAGAGGAGGTTGAGAAGAGAAAGGGCGGGAGTGATGCCGATTCAGCTTTCAACAAGTTCATGGTTGAAGCTCGCCACACCATATTTGGCAATCCAAACGCCGCCCGGAAGGCCGATGAGCTTTAGAGGCGGGTGGATTTATAGACAATAATACAAGAGACGGTTTTGGGAAAAGTGCAGGTGGGGCTAGCCTAAACATTGTAGTGAAAGAAATGAAAATTTAGAGGTTGAGCATGAGAATGAATGTCTATTGATCGGTGGAAAAGAGTTTCTTTATACCGTAAGGATTGCTTTATGGAGTCATCCTGAGGGAATTGAAGTTCTCTGTTGGAGGTGATCGCCAGACAAAGTTGTTCAATTACGTGGATCTAGCTCAATCTTTCGATCTCGTTCTCTCAAGTCTTCTAACTCCATTCCATCTCCACTTAGTCCTCACAGTGAATAATCAAGCCTGTGTTTTCTGAAGAATTAATGGTACCAATATTAAATACTGTTCGTATCCTCCTGTTGTGATTCAAATTAATTCATTTTTTTGTTAAGTTCATCTGATTACTGGGTTGTTTCTATTTACTGGGGTATTCGCATAATAAGGTACGAATTTGCAACCACGCATGTTTTTTGAAAATGAACAAACCCCAGTCAAATCAAAAACGGCATTCAAATTGAGTATGGACCACCGCCCAGTCATTCCATTCAAATCTTTCAGAGCATTCTTGCGTTCATCCAAATTTCATCTCCTTCCTATCCTCTACACTCAATACCATGCTCCATCAACCACTCTCCATAAACTACACTCATCACCCACATTCCAACTTCCACCCCCCACAATCTACAATTTCCTCCCTACATCGGCCTCCAGACCCGTCTCTTCTTTCATGTGTATTCCATTATAGTACAGCTGTATGCTTAGTCGAACAAACCGAAGCCCATGTCGTCGTCAGACTCCTCGGCAGCAGCCTCCTCCTCCTTCTCGGCAGCAGCCTCAGGAGCAGCAGCACCACCGGCAGCGGCGGCACCACCGGCAGCAGCACCGGTTGGAACAGAAGACAACTTCTCGTTACCCTCGGCAATCAAATCCTCGGCGTTCTTGCCCTCAACCTCGGCCAAGAGCTTCTCGACCTTGTCGTCCTCGACCTCGATGGACACGGACTCCAAGACCTTCTTGATGTCAGCGGCAGCTGGGGCGGTGTTACCGGCGTTGACCAACAATAAGTAAGCAGCTAAGTATTTCACTGGTGGTTAGTAGGGGTTGGGTTTGGTTTTGGGATTGGGATGTGCAGTTTAAGGCTTGAACGCTTTATTACTTTTTGTGGTTTGGTCTCGTTGGGTGTATTGTTGGACGGGTCTTCATGAATCGGTCTTCATGAATCGATCTGGATACATCATAATGGGGTAGAATAGTCATTGGGGATTTTCTGAATATGGACGTTTTGGGCGTATTTGGAACTACACCCTCTTTTCACCACACGGCTCCCTGAATCTCGACATACTTTCTGTTGTATAGTGTAGAAAGAGGTTTTTCAGATTGACTTTTTTCGCCAAAGGTGGAGGATTTTTCGACGCTTGTGTGCAGGTTGGTGAAGCTTTTCGCAGTCACACTGGTCACGTGACTACGCTGGGTTATGGGAGTTTTAGTTCTGCCAGTTGCAAGAGAGGTTGGGTAGCTAGCGACCAGCTGTGGAGTATATGATGCGAGGCTAGACTAGGCTGAACAGGCCGGGATTCATGGGGTGATTGCTGTATGTTGTGGGGTATATGCAGTCCGCTACAATTTGGCTGCAAAATGAACCATTAGAGGCTTTCCGTGGGGGTAAGCGAAGATTATAAAGAATTGTATCATATACTGGTTCTTTTGTTGCCTTTTTGCTCGGCAATATCATATATTACTCATGTGCGTATGATAGAGCTGGTAAGATGATTTAGTATTCACAGCTCGTATCTGTGCCGTTCAGCTTAAGAATTCACAGCCAATTTGGACCTTACTTTATTACTTGGAATCGAATTGCTTCATGTCACTTGTAGATTTCAAATTGTCTAGCTCATTCATGTTATGCGAACTACAACTCTGCCTGTTGAGTGTAGATGTTTTGTATGCTGTTAGAGTGCTGCGGATCTTGCCTCTTAATAGAAAAGTACAGACCACCCTCATAACGTGGGGCGCTTATTTAAAGGGAGTATCTTTATTTTGACAGGTCAATTATGCCACTGTGATCATTTTAACAGTCAATATTTATACCTACTCACCTAATCATCCTTGAATCTAATGCTGAGCTCGATCCACTGTTTGAGCTGCTCTGGACTGTCTCCTAGCACTCTGCCAAACTCGATTCCGTATCTGAAAAACACAAAGGTCGGAAATGCCTTGATGTGGGGGGTCTGGTTTTTGAAAATGTCGTTCTTTTCTTTGTTCATGGGACGTTTGGTTTTGTAGAAGTCAAGCTCGTATTCGTCAGAGTATTTATCGTAGTATGGAGCCACAGTATCACAGGGTCCGCAACCGATACCCAGGAAGAACACAAAAAGCGGCTTTTCCTCCAGTTTTTTGAGAATTTTCTCGAATTCCTCGTAAGTGTCGAATGACTCCACAACCATGATGAAAATTAAATATGGCTATCCAAAAAGCAGAAGCAGACCATGTGCTTTATATGTCGCCTATCGGTGCCGCATGCAAGTGCCACACGTATCTCTCAATTAGCTACAGGTTTTGCGTCATAGCTCATGGCAATGAATTCTACTTTCCTATTTTTGGTGAAAACTAGAACTATTTCTGTATTATCTCAATAACTTACAAGGGTGTAAAAAGGTGTAATGCACCCTGCTAAAACTAACTGAAACATCACTTTATCTCTATTCAGACGTAAACGCCTTCAACCCCGAGTCTCTTCCTTCTCGTTGTTGATTATTCTATCTTTTTCAGGAAGATTACCCACTTTCTCCTTCGGATCATAGCCAATGGCTTGCAATCTCTCAACCAAGTTGGGGTGGCTTATAGTGCAAAGGGAATTGAGCCAGTCGGTATCCAAAGAAGACAAGTTTTTCTGATTCATACGGATCAAACCTGAAGCAAGCTCATCTTTGTAGCCTTGTTTCAATGCATAGTTATCAGCCTGGTACTCATTTTTCCTCGTAACAATGTTGTGGAATATTTGAAAAGAAAAGTCGACAGGCCAGGAAAGGTAACTGAAAAGAACTAGATTGACAATTGGAGATGCGCCTGTGAAACCGAAGGAGACAGCAAGAGGAGTGCTTTCAAAAGCAGCTGTAAATAATAGAAAATTCCCGCTAACAAGGGCTGCAATCAGAGCAGTGATTTGCCAAATATGGCCCAATTTCCAGTGACCAAGTTCGTGAGCCAAAACAGCCACAATCTCCTCGGTGGTATGCTGTTCAATCAAGGTGTCAAAAAGCACGATTTGCTTGTTCCAGGGAAGACCAGTAAAAAAAGCGTTTGAATGTGAGGAAGTGCTTGAGCCATCCACCTCAAGAAGCTTCTTCACAGGGAAACCATTCTTTTTAGCCAATTCTTCGATTTTGATACGCAACTCGCCATCTCTTAACGGAGTAAATTTATGAAATAAGGGCAAGATAACAGTGGGCACGACAGTCTGAATAAAAAGAAGTCCCACCAAAAAAGCCACACTAGCATACTTAGCAAAATCACCACCAAAGAAGTCAACAATCTTGACAAAAATAAAAGTGGCAGCAGCATGGAAAGCTTGCACGACAACAATCTGCAACAAACTGTCCCTGAAGAACTTGCTCCGAGTCTGTTTGTTGAAGCCCCATTTTTCCTCAATGAAAAAGTCAAAGTAGTAGGATCTAGGAATCACGTAAATCAGCTCGAGGGTCTTTTTAATAGCAAAGAACAAGACACTTTGCAGAGTAACACCGCCAAAAATACCACTGAAAAGTTTGACTCCACCCAAATACGATCCCACTTTCCCTGCAAGACCCCAAATCTGAGGCAACAAGTTGAAATAAAGAATAGCCAACTCCTTTACCAATTCGGATGTATCCCGGATCAAACTGAACTTGAGATGGTCTCTGGTGTAATTCTGAGACTTGACAAACTGCTCCTGGGTGATTTCCTTTTCAACAACAACTGGTGGCTTTGGGTGGAGGGTGACATTGTACTCTCTGTAGTTGAGATACGTCTTGAATGCATAATTCGCAACCAAAAACAGGGCACCGATGGCCTTCCAATTGATATCGTTTCTCTGAAAGAGAGACTGGTATTAGTATTGAAGGACGGCAGGCACTGGTACACATACAGCTAAGTACGATGACATTTTGGTTTATTTTCAAGAATTGCAAGAATGAGTTATTTATATTCAGAATCGAGGATGGAAGGGTATGCAGAACGGAGCCACTTATCAGCCTGGCGTATCTTACTGTGTGGTGTGCGGCTCGAAAAGCATATTTTGATGTCCTATGGCGATCAGTGGTTGATAGGTCTGCCCTGCGGCTCATTGGATATGCAGTGTGTGGTAATGAGAATTCCAGGTGTCTGGATTAGCCTATGATTTTTGAAGGGTTTTGAAGAAATAATGTCAAAAGTTGGATCGTCCTGAGAAGCCATTCAAGGAAACAAAATGTCACTTCGTTTGCATATTCATCGCAGCTTCGAATGTTCTTGAACGTCGGCTCTTTTTTTTTTTTTTTTTGGGCAACAAACTAATTGGTCTCATGGCAGCAAAAGGTGGCAAATTTCAGGACGTTTCTGGTCAGTTGGCAGTTATTTTCGCTGCTATTGTTTGACAGAAGTGAAATGCTGTGGCTTGGAGCGAGCGGTATTATCGTCCCGCATGAAACAATGCCGCCCCATGCACAAGAGCCTTCGACACCTGTCAAGTCTTGTTTGACAGGTTGAGCTTTTGACGGGATTTTGAGCCTCAATAGAGGCATTGGTGGTAGTTTAAAGCCAATTAATGTTTAAGAAATCGAAATGTTCATCTCTGTAGCGCAGTCCGTGGTCGCCTTCGAAAAGTGCAGCGTGTTAACCCGGAGGCTCCATTACCTAAAGATTTGCCACCATGTTGACAAAGTGGGTGTGCTTGAAATTTTAAATTTCTACTTTTGGTGGCCAAATTTGCCATCAATTGATGGTGGCGAGAGGCACCACGGGCTATATTCATCAGGTTTGTCTCTTGTTTGAAGGAGACCCCTATTCAATCGAATGTTCAGTGCCACTTTTCGAAGTCAAGATACAGAATAATCTATCCTTTCCTATTGTAAAGGTATTTCCTGTGAAGCGAAGAATTAATGTAATCCTCAGGAAAATGTGTTGTGGTCTGTCCAACGGGAAACGGCCAGATTGCTAATGATATCGCTGACATCTGCTTCTTGATGATGATCTTCACTATCACAGTGCATACATCACGTTTGAATCTCACAATCCATGATGTATATCTCACAACATGCTACGATCTTGTGGTATAGTAGCTTACGCCATCCTGGTAAATGCTCCAGACTCAGTGAATCCCAGATTCCATGCTTAATACAGAAAGAAGCCCGTGATTTCTTTTCTTTGAAACGTTTCATCAGAAACCCCTGCTTCTCAATAAGCTGGAAAGAAAGATTGGTGAACTACGGCTATGTCTCTAGTTGCATGTCGGTGCCACACACTACACATAAACACTCAATTCTCCAAAATCAACGACCCTCAAGATTCTACAATTCCCCTAATCAACATTCAATTCCCATATGGCCCCCATTGGCTTCCCCTACCCAATAGATATACCTCCAGACAGCCACACCTGCACACACCACATATCAACACTATTACTAACGATATCGCCATTCTCAAAAACCAACCTGTAAAACCATGGCTGCCAAAGATTTCCCCGCCCTTTCGCCCGAAAACGAAAAAGAGCTTGTCGAAAGACTCAGCCAGTGGGCGTTGGCCAATGGTCTCGTGATGTACCCACCCAATTGGCAACTCCACTCGGCCAACAATGCTCCAATCACCATGTTCCCCACGCCGTTTCCCAAGGACTTGTTTGAAGATGCCATGAAGGTGCAGACCACGTTTAACAAGCTCTACGCCAATGTCGTTTCCAAGGAGAAGGTGTGGCTTGTCGATTTGATCAAAAGTTTGGCAGACTTCGATAAGGACTTCACTGGGAAATTGTACGAGACATATGTCAAGGCTGTTGAGTCCAGCAACGGCACTTTGCCCCAGCCATTGAGTTTGGGCGTTTTCCGTTCTGACTACATGTACAACCAGACGGACCATACGATCAAGCAGATCGAGTTCAACACGGTGAGTATCTCGTTTGGCGGCTTATCTACCAAGGTAGGAGCTGCTCAGAACTACCTCAACAAAAGCGGAGTCTACGATAACGACTATTCTTTGAAATACTACCAGCCAGACGAGGTGCCGGTTTCTGAGTCGATCGATAAGATTGCTTCTGGGTTGGCTCAGGGCAACTACTTCTACAATGACGAGGTCGACAACCAAAAAACGGTTGTGCTTTTCGTTGTTCAACCGGGCGAGCGTAACTGCTTCGACCAGAGACTCATAGAGTATGCTTTGCTTGAAAATCACGGCATCAAGTCGTACAGACTGACTTTGGAGGAGATCAAGGAGAAAACCACCATCAACAGCGGCAAATTGTACATCAAAGCTACCATGGACGAGGTTTCCGTGGTGTACTACCGCTCTGGATACGCCCCTTCCGATTATTCTGTGAATCCAGAGAAAACATGGGATGCTAGACTCCATTTGGAAGTCTCCAAAGCGATCAAATGTCCCTCCTTGTTGACACAGCTCTCGGGCTCCAAGAAGGTCCAGCAGGTCTTGACCGACGCATCAAGGGTGAAGGAGGTTTTGGGCGATGTCTCGCAAGAAGAGCTCGATCTTTTGCTTTCAACGTTCGTCAAAATACATCCTTTGGACGATACAGCAGCAGGCAAGGAAGCCAAAAGACTTGCACTTGAAGAGCCGGAAAACTACGTGTTGAAGCCACAAAGAGAAGGCGGTGGCAACAATGTCTACAAGGGCGACATTCCGGGCCATTTGAAGGCTTTGGACGAGTCTGAGTGGGGTGCGTATATTTTGATGGAGCTCATTCATCCGCCAACCCACAAAAACAAGATCATCAAGGACGGCCAGGTGTACAATGAGGACATTCTCTCGGAGCTAGGCATCTTCGGCACGTTGGTGTTCAACGAGGAAACTGGCGAGATCAAATCCAACGAGAACGCTGGCTTCTTATTGAGATCCAAGTTCAGCTCCAGTGACGAGGGCGGTGTTGCTGCCGGATTCGGATGCGTGGACACCGTCTACTTGTACTAAGCGGTCCTCCAATTGGATGGTCCACAAGGCTGCACCCACGGTGTTGGTAAACATGGTGAGAATCGTCAGAAACGGGATCAATTCGAGTAGGAGTGCCGCTGCACCGATCCCAGTGTAGCCGCCCCTGTTCTCGATGTCGAACTTTTTGATCTGCTGCTTGTTCCAACCCTTCAATTTGAAGTATCTAGAGTGAAGACTGCGACCTTTGCATGGTGCTCTGATGAGCACTACAAGACATGGACCAATGACGGGTATCATTCCGACGAGAAGAATGAGGATTTCGTGGAGAATGATCCTGGGGAGTTTGTCTACGAAAAACAATGCCACTGTTTTGGCTTTCTCGGCCTTCAGGGTTTTGGTGGTTTTGCGCCTGATCTTCATCTGAAGCACCATGTCAGCTTGACCTTCCCTGCTCAACACAGCGTCAAAGACCATGTCTCTCACGCCGGGCATAAACACCATGGAGATCAAAAAATTCAGCATCATGTTGGAATACTGCAAAACCGTAAAAAAGGAGCTCACCACCCCAAAAGGCCCAAACGCAAGAAACGAAAGAAGAGCATAGAGCGGATAGACCGATAAGTACATCACGGCGTATATTCCCAACGTAAAAACGGTCTGAGGCACGATAATAGAGCCGTACAACGGCCAGATATCGGGATTTTCGAAGAAGTAGAGAATACCCTTCCGGTGTTAGAAATGTAAAAAGATGAAGAAAAGTCCCACAAACCTGGAAAGGATATACGTAGGTTCCTGCAGTAACTGCAAGAACAGGCGCCGTGCAGAAGCAGCAGACCTCCAGATAGGCATCAACGACACAATCGAATAAGAACATGTTGTGAGAAGGAAGTTGTGACAATTGCAAAAAGATAAATCGCAAAAAGATTGGACGAGTCCGGATTCGAACCGGAGACCTTTCGCATGCTAAGCGAACGCGCTACCAACTACGCCACACGCCCTGGGAGAAGTGGTCCCTAGCAGGATCGAACTGCTGATCTTGGCGTTATTAGCACCACGCCTTAACCAACTGGGCCAAGGGACCAACTTGCATGTTAAAAAAGCGCGGTCTGTATATGTAGGTCACACTAAGAGTGTGCATATAAAATTACAAAAATCAAGATTTTGACGAAAAACGAGATTTTTGCACGTCAATGATGATGCCTGACTTTCTGAAACCCGGTGGAAGCTGCTTCGAGTCTCTGGAGCCGCTTCAGCATCATTTTTTTGCGATTTTTGCCATTTTTTAGTCCGCAAAGCACCCGATGAGGACTAAGTGAGCCAAATATGGAGCCTGTACATAAGCGCGTCTTGCCGAGTATATAAACAAAGCCCTAAAATTTGCTCATCCAAATCCGATATGGTGTAATGGCTAGCACAGTTCGCTCTCACCGAGCAGATCGGGGTTCGATTCCCCGTATCGGAGCTTTCTTTTTAATTTTTTGATGATCTTACATTTCGGTTCTTAGAATATGATATTAATTGTTAAAAACTTACGGATCAAGCTATCTAGCTGTGCAAAATCGGCATAGTAGCCATAACATCACAAAATCTCTCTTGTTCAACAACAGGTGAATCCAAGTTTATCAGATTATGAACTCTGCCAGTTAGAAGTATCGATCTTCAGCCACCTTAGATACCAAGACTGGCACCCTTGGCTCTAGCGTTTCTCTGGTGTCCGTGGTAGATGGTTGAGGCACCAACACCAATGAAAACACCACCCAAAACAAAGAGAAAGTTCTTGAGGTAGTGGGTGTTCTCCACGGTCTCGTTACCGGTCACCTCCGTAGCAGAAGCAGCAGCCAAAGCAGCTGTCGTCAAAGAAATCAAGATATTTGAAAAGGCCATTTTTCGATACCCTAGAGAATAGCCAGGCTCGACTTCTTTATATACGGCTGGCGATACCGGAGATATTGTTTGTAGTCCTATTCCGGAAAGGCTACTAGGCGACACCTGATTGGTTATACAAACAAAAAGCGGTTGGATTTCTTATTTTTCTCCTTCACTGATAAGAGCCACATTCGTGCCGCACCACCCTATGCATCGTTGGTTCTTTCCTTAAAATACGCACGAAGGCTAAAAGTGTGGAAATGCAAGTCCATTTATTGTGAGCATATCGGCGTTAACAGCGGCTATTTCATTTTGGAGGCGACACGCTTGGGGTATGTCTGGGTATCAGGAATGAAAAGGCTCGCCTGGTTGGTCTTATACCGTTTCATAGAGATACCATTGATTTAATCAACAACTATGAGAAAATGAGAAGGTCTTTCAGAAGCCTGGACACGAAGAGCCTTGGGATTTCAAGTATTCCATGTTTTACATGTGAGGCAAATATTTCAGCATTTCGACCCTGAAAACGGGTTGAAGTGCTATTTCGAGAGACACTGCCGATTTACCATTTTTTTTTTTTTTTTGCAGAAGACGTTGATTAAAGGTCGCTTCGGGATCGGTGTCTCACTCACCTACTCCTCAGCTTTAAAAACTATAAACCGAGATTTTATAGCAAAAAACCTTCTCTCAATTAACCCGATACCAGAGTGACTATGGCTTCTCACCTTGTTCTTACCATCTCAGTCAAGCGTGAACGTTGAGACTCGTCACCGCATGTCTGGTGCTTGTTGTAGCATAATCCGCTCAAATTATAAAAGACTCCTGAATCGTATTGAATTTACTACCCTTTGAAACGTTTCCTATCAGCCTTCTTTTACCTCGCATAAGACAGGGGCCAATAATGCCTCGAATTCACACCATGATACGATATTTTCACGAAACAGGACGCAGGGATCGATTTCATTTGAAGGATTTCATCATCGAAGCCCATATTGTTAACCTGTTGGTATGATATCCACAGAAGCTACGTTACTCGCCATATTTAGAGGAGAAACAAAACGTGAACTGAACATCCACCCATAAACGACAGCGATTGGCACTCTCCTTTACCCTTTGTGAATAAATTCTGAATTTCTATGGTTTCTGTCATCATTCAGAACTACTTGATATCTGGAGTACCCTATATGCGAATTTCGCAGCCATTTCGCACATTTGTAAGGACCTGCATATATGCTACTTTACGCTATATAAGTACCCTAGCGACGAAACCCCTACATCAGTCCGATATGGTGTAATGGCTAGCACAGTTCGCTCTCACCGAGCAGATCGGGGTTCGATTCCCCGTATCGGAGTTCTTTTTTGCCCTTACCGTTGATTCTTTTTACTTTTTAGTCTCTTATGAAGCTGTTTAACTTCGCTACTAATAGTTATGACCAATAGCGATCTTTTTGTGGCACGGGACCCCCTAGGGTGATGAGATTGACTCATGCTCTCTGGAAAAGTGACTAATTAGCCGTGCAGCTTGCCTACAAGTACATATTCTTTAGATCACTCCCACCCTTAATTCACCAACATCATTTAAATTTTACTTCGATTAATTCCGTGGCGAGATGAAAAAGTTCTTCTTTTTGATGGGCTTATCGCTCCTCATTAATCTTGTCAATTCGGCTTCGGTTACGGTAACCCCGCCAAACGAATCAAAGGTATCCGAAGCAATAGCCAATATCACGAGGTGTTTGGGTGATCAGGCTGAAAAGTACCAATACACTATTGAAGGCGAGGAAAGCTTATTCTACTATCCCAAGGAAATGAGAGCTTTTGACGAAGCCCTTGATGCTAGACTTGTTTACTGCTTGAGCCATTCAACTAATCTTGGATGTCGTAGTTACGGTGCCAGTGAAGAGTACGAGGCTCAGTTTGATTGGTCAGATCAAAGCAGCACTAGCGAGGCAGAGTACAATACAAGATGGAACGATTGGAATGGTTTGTACAGCCGGGGTTTTGGAGTTAGTGATATACTCAAAACTGTTGATTTTGGCTTTTCTGCTGATGCTGGCAAAGCCCCGAGTGAGTATGTTAGATGGTTCGACTTGGTAGGTGATCGATGGTTGCGAATGATTTAACCGTGATTCTAATTTTCTTACAAATGATATCTCTTTATTAGAGAACGGAAATTCTGAGCATGGGAGCTCGAGAAGACTGTTGTGGCTCTGATTCAAATTATAGGGCTTTTTATTTTGCACTTTAGGATGGCCCTTTCTTACATGTGAAGTCCTGGTATATGGAGGCTAACATGCTTTGATCTAGTAAGCTAGCATGGGTCAATGAGCCAACAAAGTCAATCAACATAGCTTATTTAGTGGAAGACACTGGGTATCAATAAGAATAGCTGTAAAAAAGCAAAAAAGAAGCTCCGATACGGGGAATCGAACCCCGATCTGCTCGGTGAGAGCGAACTGTGCTAGCCATTACACCATATCGGATGTTATTGATATGTTGCGACCGCCGACAATATATATCGCTTAATCTTACACTTTAAGCTAAATGTCCTTTAATCGCTCTGAAACTTTTTGTGCATAATTATTATCCAAGTTTTGATACTCTGTGTAATTTTAGGCCATTTTGGGCCAATTTTGATGGAGATATGAGTCATTTTGCACTTCATGTGGAAAGATAACCGGTCTACGTTACCTCTGCCTCTCAGTATTCTCCATCTAAAGCCTTATATACCTCAAATAAATTCATCCGAAGCTATCTTCGAGCCTTTTCTGGCCATTCATTGTCATTGTGGACCTGAATGTCTGTTTGGTTCTAAATCCACAAACGTTCACCTGAAGCAGCTTTCAGCTCGATCTAGGCACTTTCAAGAAACTCTGCTCCATTCCAGTTGCCGCCTCCTCTTTTGCCCCCTTCTTCTGGGGATTATTTTCTAGACGGTGACTTTCCAAGTCTGACTCATGCGACATTTTGGGTGCAAAATGGCAGATCAGCGCCAGTTCCATGAACGGCTTCATTTCACACAACCCACAAAAATTAAACCAAACGAAAAAAACACATCCTCTTAAAAGCATAAAAACAACACCTACCGTCTTCCCCCTCCTCTAAGCTCAAAACACCCATCTACATCTACTTCCCTCAGTAGACCGCACCTTCTTCATGGCCACCTCAACAACCATACAACCACATCACCCCACATACAATGACACCACCCCTAGATCTACAAACCCCCCATTTCTCCGCCGGTGACTCACTGGGTGACTCAGAAAACAGCATATAAACAGCACCTCCAACCCACCCATGGCAGTGTGCACATTGACACAAAAATTCAGGCATCATCAGATTTCTTCACCATTCTCAACACCACCATGTCTGAAGAAACCAAAGACTTGAAGAACCTTTCGCTTGAGGAGAAGCCCGAGGGCGTCATTCTCGGCGAGGACGGTCAGCCACTCTCCAAAAAGGCATTGAAGAAGTTGGAGAAGGAGAAGGAAAAGGCCAAAAAGAAGGCTGAAAGAGAGGCCCAATTGGCCAAGGAGAAGGCAGAGAAAGAGGCCCAGGCCGCCAACGACCCGCTGAAGGCCAACTACGGCAAGTTGCCCTTGATCAACCTGAGCACCAAGCTGGGTGTCCAGAGAGTGAAAATCGCCGATTTGAGCGCTAAGAACGACGGTCAGGAAGTCGTCTTCAGAGCTAGAGCCCACAACTCCAGACAACAGGGCGCCACGATGGTGTTCATGACCCTCAGACAGCAGCTGAACTTGATCCAGGGACTCTTGAAGTCCAACGGCGAGTCCATCTCCAAGCAGATGGTCAAGTGGGCTGGTCTGATCAACTTGGAGTCCATTGTGCTTGTTCACGGTGTGATCAAGAAGGTCGACGAGCCTGTCAAGAGCGCCACCGTCCAGGACGCCGAGATCCACATCACCAAGATCTACACGATCCAGGAGACCCCCGAGCAGTTGCCCATGTTGATTGAGGATGCTTCTCGTTCTGACGCTGAGGCCGAGGCTGCTGGACTTCCAGTGGTCAACTTGGACACCCGTTTGGACTCGCGTGTGATTGACTTGAGAACGCCCACCAACCAGGCCATTTTCAGAATCCAGCACGGCATCTGTGAGTTGTTCAGAGAGTTCCTCTCCAAGAAGGGCTTCACTGAGATCCACACTCCCAAGATCTTGGGTGCTGCTTCCGAGGGTGGCTCCAACGTTTTCGAGGTTTCTTACTTCAAGAGATCCGCCTACTTGGCCCAGTCCCCCCAGTTCTACAAGCAGCAGTTGATTGCCTCCGACTTTGAGAAGGTGTTTGAGGTTGCTCCAGTCTTCAGAGCGGAAAACTCCAACACCCACCGTCATATGACCGAGTTTGTCGGTTTGGACTTGGAGATGGCCTTTGAGGAGCACTACGACGAGGTGATGGAGGTTTTGCAGGACTTGTTCATTTTCATCTTCACCGAGCTCAAGAGCAGATACGGCGATGCCATTGCTACCGTCAGAAAGCAGTTCCCTGTCGAGGACTTCAAGTTGCCTGCCGACGGCAAGATGGTCAGATTGCACTTCAAGGAGGGTATTGCCATGTTGAGAGAGGCCGGCAAGGAGGTGGACGACTTTGAGGACCTTTCCACCGAGAACGAGAAGTTCCTTGGTAAGTTGGTCAGAGACAAGTACGACACCGACTTCTACATCTTGGACAAGTTCCCCTTGGCCGTCAGACCCTTCTACACCATGCCCGACTCCGAGGACCCAAGATACTCCAACTCTTACGATTTCTTCATGAGAGGTGAGGAGATCTTGTCTGGTGCTCAGCGTATCCACGACCCTGAGTTGTTGAAGGAGAGAATGGCTGCACACGGCGTTGACTACTCCACCGAGGGCGTTTCTGACTATGTTGATGCCTTCACTTACGGCTGTGCTCCTCACGCCGGTGGTGGTATTGGTTTGGAGAGAGTGTTGATGTTCTTCTTGGACTTGAAGAACATTCGTCGTGCCTCTCTCTTCCCCAGAGACCCCAGAAGATTGAGACCATGAGCAGTAGATAGAAATAAAAGAGATTACCAATGCAGCCCCCTAGATAAGCCATACCATCGAAATAATGGCCTGTCTATGCCTCTATTCCAGTCTACAGCGCCAGAGCTCGGCTCCGCTGCTCCATATTATCTCGTGACTATGTATCTATCAACTAGTGGTTTCTGTCGGCGGTTCTGGGCTTGGCACGGAGGATGTTGTCGACTCTCAACAAGACCTCAGCAGCCTCGGACGACGACAGCACCACGGCCCTCTTCAACTTGTACGACTCCACAACACCCATCTCGCGCATGTCAGCAACCACACCCTGATTGAGGTCCAAGCCGGACGTCAGCATGCCGTTGTAGATTGCAGAACGCAATTTCGTCACCAACTCGCTCGAGTCGAAACCAGCATTGTCAGCCAAAATCGTAGGAAGCGCCCTCAAGGCTCTGGCAAAGGCCTCGATAGCAAGAGCCTTCTTGCCGGTCTCGTTGGCAGCAGCCTGGTCCACAGCCTTGGACATGATCATTTCAGAGCATCCACCGCCCAACACAGTACGTGTTTCTCTGGTGGTCTGCAGCAACACCGACAAGGCGTCATGAAGCGATCTCTCGGCCTCGTCCAAGCCCTGCTCCGTGGCGCCCCTCAAGACTATAGTACAAGCTTCGCCGGCGTCACAGCCAGAGAATTTGAGGAAGGGGTCCTCGCCAATCAAGATCTCCTCGATCAGCTCGCAGTGGCCCAAACGGACATTGTCGGGCTCGTCGAACGTCGAGACAACCTCGGCGCCCGTGACCAAAGCCAAACGCTCCACACCGTCGAAATCAGCGTGTTCGATAGAGTTGATCTTGGAGTCCGTGAACAACTGCTCGGGGTAGTCGTAGATGAGCTGTCTGTTGATGAACACGTTGATGCCAAACTTCTTGATTTTCTCGATCTTGGCCTTCATCTTCTGCTTCTCGGCTTTTTCAAGCTCGGCCAATTTGGACGTCGAGTCCACCTTGAACTTGGCGCCAAAGATCTTGACCTTGTCGGTATCGAGCGACGTGTTGGCCACCAAGATCTTGGCGTTCTGGATCTTCTTGGGCTGGTTGATGCCGAAACGCTTCTCCAAGATGAAGCCCTCGTCGAGGTACGAGTCTGCCAACTTGCCGCCGGCTTTCTTGATGATCTGGATGTTGCTCAAGTTGGTCGAGCCCTTCAAACGCAAGATCGCGTCCACGGCAAGCTCGGCAAACTGCTCCTTGTCCTGGGCCAAGATCTTCAGCGAAAGCGTGGTTCTGGCAATGTTGATCAAGTCCGAGCGGAACTTCTCGGCGTTGGCGCCGTTGTTGATCGCCACCTTGTCCAAAGCAGCTACCGCAGTGTCTCTGGCGATTCTGTAACCTTCGATGATCGTCTGTGGGTGTATTCTCTGGTCCACAAGCTTCTCAGCCTCTCTCAAAAGCTCCGCTCCCAAAACCGTCACCGACGTGGTGCCGTCCCCAACCTCGTCGTCTTGCACCTTGGCGATGTTCACCAACACCTTGGCTGCTGGATTGTCCAATGGGATCAGCTTGAGAATGGTGGCGCCGTCGTTGGTGATCAAGGCCTTGTCTGGATCAGACGCCGACTGTAACAACTTGTCCATGCCCTTGGGGCCCAAGGTTGTTTTAACGAGGTCGCCCACGGCAATGGCGCCGACAAAAGACGCCATACGGGCGTTTTCAGCCCTTTCTTCGCTGGCCTGGTCGCCGAATATCTGCACTGACATTGAAGAGTAGTGGTGCGAAGGTGAGAGTTTTTCGATGGATTTAGTGAGGTGTTGATGTGAGGGTGTCTGGGGTGGTTGGAGGCAAAAAGGCGGTTGGGGGTTAGGGTTTTGGGGTGAATGGGGTGAGAGGGCTGGATTTTTTTGGAATTTACGGTTTTTGAAGGGGAGAGTGGGGGTTGTGTTTTTGGCATCCTGGTGGTCCAGCGCGGTGTATGGATTGATGGAGCGAGGTGGTGTTCTGTAGACGGTCTTGGCGGTGGTAGTGGTTTTTTTTTTAAGTTGGTGAAGAGTTTGCTTTTGTTTGAAGAAATGTGAATGTTGCAGGGATTCGCTACCCTTTTGTGTTCTTGACGTTTCATGGAATTCGTCTGGTTGATATAATGGTTGGTGTTAGTGACTGCAATTGAACAAACCATCGCCCCAATGTGATTCTACATCTATTTTTTTTCTTCAAACATGACCATGGTTCACAAGCTTATGAGGTCTGTTCATTGTTGTTTAGAACGACTCGACGAGCAACTCCTTTGTTATATTTGATTGAAGATTATCGAAATAGGATCCGCGTTCTCGACTCCCTGACCTTGCCATAATGTAGAAGAATTGACATATTCTCAATAATCATGGCTTTACAAAAAAAGTTGCAAAACTCTCAAACACTTTCATACTTAATAAGCTTGAAAGACCTTAATCCAGCTCCTCTTCTATCCCAAATGCCACAATGTCGTCATGTCATTGTAGAAACAAAAACAATCAAAATTCCGAGGTTTGATTGTCCCCAAGCACATGGCAATTTATATTAAATGGATCTGCACCGCCGTGTCAACCTCCTTCTGCAGCTGACTACAGCATCCTCTTTTTCCTACCATCAGAAACTACTAGAATGATAATTAACCTAGACAAAGTCAAACGTGGGATTCCTTTTGAGTCCTGTTTCGGGCCTGGATTTAAAAATATACCCAACATCCAGATCGCCAAACTTGAACCGTTGAAAAAGGCCCGCTTGATTGAAGATACTTTTATGGATGTAACAGACGGCACTCGAGAAAAGAAATCATTGATTGACGTTAAGGTCAAGGGAGCGTCAAACTATAGGGTATGGGACTCTCAGTTTCAAGATTGGCTACTTAAGCAAGACCAGTGTGCTAGACACTATGAGTTTGGGTTGATATCAAAGAGACACATCGACCCCTCCGTCGTGAAGCACTACAGAAACTTTGATGTCGAGAGCTTCCGAGAACTCGTTGATGACATCGATGCAATACTTGCAACATTTTTGATCGAAACCTTGTCAGCAGCCCACATTCAAATTAAGAAGAAAAACAGAATGAAGTACCACACCTTAAAAAAAAGAATTGACGAATACTGCTTATTCGAAGCCGTGGGGGAATGGTATCAGAGGGAACATGGTGTCATGTGGATCGATACAAGCACTAGATTTACTAAGAATACCCCCACGCCATACACCAAACATACGTTCCTCTGGAGTACCTATCACGAGTATCACATTGTCAACGACACAAGCTTATTTTGGTATTTGAAAGAAACGAACCCGAAGAAAGAGGAATCGCAAGGAAGGCCAGCCGTTCATGGTATTGGGGTTCTCAAGATAAGATTGAAAACAGGTCCACCGTTGATCCTTCCCCACGTAGCTTATATTCCTGGATCAGATCTCATTTATTCGGAAATGGCGGCGAGAAGGGTCGGTCGTTCGATAAAACTTACTAAGAATGATATCCGTGGTCGTCGTCAGATCGGCAGGATTTCTCCACGTCCTCAGGTGGATCTAGGGATTCTTAGCAAGAACTTCTTACCCAGTGCAACTAACAACCCTAGAGCTGAGACCAAAGCGGAACAATGGAGTGAGCTGGAAAGCGAGGAATACAGCGAGGAAGAAAGCGAGGAAGAAAGCGAGGAAGAAAGCGAGGAAGAAAGCGAGGAATCATACATATCGTTTGACGAAGGGCCAGCCGAACACCCTCATTTGAATTTCTCTTTTATCGCACCATAATTCACAACCCAAATAATGAAATATGAAACTTTTCCAAATTCGCCTAAATTGCCCCCTAAGGTCAACCGTTCGATTACGCTCACGTTTAAAGACTATCGTTATCAGCTTTCGACCCATCCTGAGTTGGATCTCGAAATTTTCAGCATAAACCTTCTTCCGAAGGAAGCTACTAACTGTAAAGTGCATGCGGAAGAGGATCAGCTTGAAGAGCTGCAAAGCGAGGAACCCTAAATGCCAATTGACTTAGGGCCCGCCGAGCACCCTAATTCGATTTTCTCTTCTATCTGACCATAATTCACAAACCAAATAATGAAATTTTAATTTTTTACAATTTCGCTTAAATCACCCTGCCTTTCAAAAAACGTCATTTCCATGATCGGACTGCACCCCTGCAGCCCGGAGGATATGCAACCCACAGCATCAACCTCTTTTTCCACAATTACCTCCAATTACCAAAATGTCAATACATCTTAAGAACTTGGAGGCTGGCATTCCAATGGAGTTGTGGTACGGGTCCGAATTCGAGGATTACACCAAAAACCGACTTCCCAAACTAGAACCGTTGGAAGAGGCCCGTTTGGTTGAAGACACCTTTATGGACGCGACAGACCGGAAGCGTATTCGTCAAAAAAAGCCATTGATCGATGTGGAGCTTATTGGAGCATCAAACTATAGGGATTGGGATGCTCAGTTCCGCAATTGGCTTGAGAAACAGGACCAGTGTGCTAGACACTTTGAGTGTGGATTGATCTCGAAGGAACACATTGATCCTTCGGTCATGCAGCACTACAAGAACTACGACGTGGAGGGCTTTCAGGCGCTTGTGAGCGACATTGACTTGGCACTCGTGGCTTTTTTGACTACAAGCTTGTCGAAGGAGCACTTTCCTCAAGAATGCAAGCTGAGGCAGAAGTACCACAAGTTGAGGAACCAGATCGACGAGCACTGCTTGACGAAAGCCGTGACCTACTGGCCCAAAAAGAACCGTGGTGAAATGTGGATCGACACCAGCATTGAGGAAGCGCTTCCTACGCCATATTCGAAACATACGTTCCTCTGGAGCACCTGGCACGATTACCACATTGTCAACGACAAAAGGCTATTTTGGTGGTTTAGAGAAACCGATCCCGAGAAAGAGGCCTCAGAGGGCAGGCCCGGCGTCTGTGGAATTGGAGCTATCAAGGTGAGGTTCGAGACAGGTCCACCGTTCATACTTCCTAATGTGGCGTATGTTCCTGGATCTGATCTTATTTATTCTGAGATGGCAGCGAGAAGTGTGGGTCGCTCAATTACACTCACATCAAACCTCAGCTGGAACCGCCGTCCAGTTGGTCGGATCTCCCCTCGTCCTCAACTAGATCTAGGGATCCTCAGCATGGACCTTTTGCCTGTGGAAACAGCGATCGCTAAAATTGAGGCCCAACTTCAAAGGTTGAAAACTGAGGAAAGGAAAGCGTCGGTGGGGGTGAAGACTGAAGACTCTGACGTTGTTGGGAAGGACGGGGAAAAGACATTCAAATTTGCCGTGAAGGAAATTGTACCCAAAGTCGAGGACACTGACGGAGTGAAGAAAGAAGGCGACGAGATGGTGGAGGAAGATGAAGAATGGTGCTTCTTGCAATCAGATGGGAAGGAGTAGCTTCAACTAATACGTTCAGGACACTGGGTCTTGTACAACGACCCCTAGCTAGCTTTAAGACAAAATCAAAAAATGCGATTATGAGATTCAACAAATGCAAAGATTGACTTTATAATGAAATAATTGATTAATTTCGGCAGTATCGCCAGCTTATGGGTCTGGCGATTCATCCAACCTTTTTGACTTGAGTGACCGGCTGCAAAATACTGCATACAAGAACATACAAGGCCAAGATGCTTCACAATTTTGGCGCTTTTCAAGGGTAAAGGAATCCCAAATATTTAGAAGCACTAGTAAACTTTCAAAATCTGTTGTAGCCGATAATCCCTAATTCCGGGCACCCTCCACCAGCCATGTATTTGCATATCAAAAACGGCCAAGCGTGGTGTACGGGTGCGATCCCCATATCATCTCATCCCCATCGCACAAAAAAAAAAAAAAAACTACAGTTACTACTTTTTATTACCATGTTCGACCCTAAAGGCCCTATCGCTCAACAGCTCACCCCACTCCTCATCACGGAGCTCACCACCAAGTACAACATCCCAGACGACGCCAAGGATGTCGCTGAGTACATCATCATGTTGATTGGAAACGGCCGTCCAGCTAACGAGATTGTTGCTGAGACCAAGGAGATCGTCAGCATCCCTATCGACGAGACCTTCATTGGTACCGTCTTTGCTGAGATTGGTCGTCTTGAGACCCTTGCCTCTCAGAGCCAGGAGGACACCTCCATGGCCGTTGAGGAGAAGCAACCCCGTGGTAGAAACGTCAAGTTCCAGAAGGGCGTCGAGGCACGTGGCAAGTTTGGTGCCACTACCAAGCCCCGTGTCACCAGAGCCGGTATCACCAAGGGTGCTATCGGTAAGCCTGGTGTTGGCAAAGCCAGCAAGGACTTTGTCGCCAAGAGCCACGGCAGAAAGGAGATCCCAACCAAGCCAAGAGGCCAGCAAATCCAGGAGAAGAGACTCTTGGAGCAGATCCAGCAGCACATGCCATCTCTTTTGGCCAACCAAGGTTCTGAGGTGGAGAGCTGTAAGTACGGACATGTGTGCTCCAAGGAGTTGTGCCCATTTGGTCACCCAGCTCCAGCCAACAAGGACGCCAGAATCCTTACCCCAAGATGGTGCAAATTCAACAAGAAGTGTACCAACAAGAGCTGTGCTTACGCTCACTCCTCGCCAAACTACCTGAAGTACACTCCAACCAAGAGACAGGCCACCACCTTGGAGCAGTGTAAGTTCAACAACTCCTGTACCAACAAGGGATGTACCAGACGTCACGCCACCTCTCTTGTGGCTTGTCAGCGTGGTAACGACTGTAAGTTGCCATTCTGCACCTACAACCACATTATCGATGAGGAGTGTCGTCACAAGAACGAGTGTGCTAACAAGGTTTGCTACTTCAAGCACCCTGACGCCAGAGAGGTTGGTTTCCTCAAACAGAACACCGGTGGCTCTGAGCCAACCAACGAACGTGCTTTTGCCGTTCCTGAGGACCAAGTTATGGAGCAGGCTGTTCAGTAAGCTACGCCGGCCGGGATTGGCCATATGACAGAGAAGATTTACAGGAAAGAATGACAGGAAAGACAAATAAAAAAAGAAAATAAAAAAAAAAAAAAAACAAAAAAAAAAAAGAAAAAAAAAAAAAAAAACAAAAAAAAAAT